CCAAATAGATATCGAAAATAGTTAAAAATATGTTAAATGCGAGTCTCAAAGAATGACGTCTAACTCACATTTTAAAAAAAAAAAAAATCAATTATTTCATTAATATTTATTATTTTTGTGATATAAATTTTTCAATGTAATTTGCATTATTTTATTAGGAAATTTACATGGGATATGACATAAATTTTTTTCGAAATTTTACATCCGAAAAAGTCATATTCCATATAAATTTTCGGATGCAAAATTACGTTTGGTATGATTTTTTTAGATGTAAATTTTCGATTGTAAAATTTCTCCCAACTTTTTTCAAGTTTGATTGTGCCCCCTAATTTTAACTGTCCGTGTCCGCTCATGTAATACGGTAGCATATAAGAGCATCTATATGGCAACTTTAAGCCAAAAATAAAAAAATAATGTAATCGGTAGAGATTATTTAAAGTTTATTTTTCTTCAAATTCATTTTCAATCATATATTATCTGAATAAAATAATTTTATACGTGAACCCATAATTTTTTCAACTTTTTAACTAGACATTCTTCCAAAAAAAAAAAAATTTACAAAAATTACAAAAATTATTGTCATAAAATATATATCAAACAGGCCCATTGAAAACTTTGCAGCATAAGGCCCTAACCTAGGGATAAGTAGGATATTGTAGCATTTGTTACTTATCTTTGTTTCTTCACGTTCAATTTTGTAGTATTTGATTCTCCAGTGAAAGGATACACATTTTTCATTCTCTAGTCTTTGATCCAATAAATATTCATTCGCAGCAACTATACTTTCAATATATTTCAGTAAGGTAACTGTACTTCAATTCGATCAGATGACCACACATTAATTTGATTTCAAAAAGATAATTCCATCTTATTTCTTCACTTGGACGTACTAATATTGATGATATGATGGTAAGTAAAAGATGTCCACTATTTATTTTAAGGGGGAATTTGGCCATTTAACTTCCCTAGACAGTGTATTTGGTTAAATGGCCTTTGACCAATGATAAAAACAGATAACAAAATGTAAAATATTTTACTTGGTAAAATGACAAAATTCTCCTCTAATTGTTAACATAATATCCTCCATTTT